GAGGCCTGTGGTGGTCGAATAAAAACTGCTGTCCGGAGAACCAGCTGGTTTCGTCGGCCTGCTTTCGGGAGCACAGGGAGATATGACCACAATCGGCTTGGTCATGAGTTTGGGGTCGTCTGGTTTAGTGCCCGGTGGAAGCCTGTTTCGTGCTTCCACTCCTGACCTGTTGTGACCAAGCTTGCGCGCGTCTAGAGGACGATCCTCAGATAGGCGCCTGATCATTGGGTTGGCCTTTTGAATGCTGCCAGCCCGCTCCAAGATTGCCTGTACGTCGGACGGGGAAGAAAGAGTAACTAGAAGTCCAAGGGTTCGCTTACTTCCCTTTTGGCGTAGCCATTCTGCGTGGAGCGATTGATCAGGCTTGCTGAGGATCAACCAGGTGATAAGTCCCAGATATAACCCGGTTGACTGTCCCAGGGGTTAACTTTGCCGTGCATTACAGCGATGTTCACCGCCGTTAGATTCACGAAACCTTTTTGCTAGTATTTTTGCACTAAATTTTAATCACTAAGGCGGTCTTTGGAGAACTATTTTTTTACTACAGACGACACGGCTTTTCGTCTCAAGAGAAAAGACCAGTTCAAAATATTGAAGGGGTCAGTTTATTTCTGCCTACATTTGCGTTGCTTTTCAACATTGTTCTTTTTTATGCATTCACAGCGGCGTAGGAATTTCTTGATGGCTGTTCGTCATAGGTTGGTGCTACCCACGGAGCATAATAATGCCCTGATTGGTCTGTATATCAGCCAATCGGGTCCAGCTCGGCGCTTCTCGCACCTCACTGAAATTGCAGCATGATGTTGTAGAACATAATGTGGTAACCCTATAAATACGGCCGTGATGATCGTCATTTGTCTCTATTAATGGATGTCTGAAGCTGATGTGCCTTTTGATATGTCACAGTGCGTGCAGCAGGAACCCAAAGACCGACAGGGTTGCACCGTCGTTTAGCAAATCACTACAAGATCGTTGAAATCATTCGCACGTTCGAACTCTAAATGGAAATCAAGGGATTGGGTTAAGCAAATCAAGCGCTGCCATGGAATAGGGTATACAGGCTTCCTGGATCTGGGAGTGGACACTGATCTGTATCGAGTGCAGCAGTGGAATAATCAGCACAAATCCCGATGTTCGTATTCTTGACCACAACAACGGGAGCTGCACAGGCAGAGTAGTTGAAAGACTTGATAACACCTGAAGTCTGAAGACAACCGACTACAGCGTCCGCAGATACAAGAGCTGCTCAAGTTACTGGGCGTTTTGTTCCGAGGATAGGTTTGCCTTTTGGCTTTAATAAAAGCGTGGTTCGGGCTACCAGGCCGGGATTCCGGCCTGGTAGGGGTTGTGTTGACCAAATCTTCACACTACGTCAGGTGCTAGAACAACGCCATACGTATAAGCGACCCACAATTCTAGTATTCCTGGATTTCCGAGGCGCATTCGACTCGGTTGTTCGGTCTGTTCTTCTTGAGACGCTTGCCCACCAAGGAATGCCCCTGAAGTTTGTAAACATCATACGTTCTTTGTATTCTCAGACTTCCGGACGTGTGAGAGTGTACGGAGAGCTCTCCAAAAGCTTCCGCACACAAAGCGGTGTCCGTCAGGGATGCCCACTCCATTCCTTTTAACTCCGTAATCGATGAAATAATGGAGGGTCTCCAAAACCCTGGTGTTCAAATAGCCAGTGAAGAAAACCTTGTCGATCTGGAATATGCAGACGACATCGTTC